GCTTTCGTCCCATCATAAAGCAGAACCGTGGTGCATCTCACAGTTCAAAACTGTTTTCACATCTAACTTTTTATTGGGCATAAAACAGCATGTATCAGAGCCACCATCCTACAGAGGAGGAAATGAAAACCTAGAATGCTCACATTCCACTCAGTGCCGCATCCCTTCTGAGTCTGAGTAAAAGAGTGTGTGTGGGCGGGCCGGTAAAACACAGGCCCTCTGGCTGCCGGGAGATCCAAGCAGCCTAGAAAAGAGAGGGAGTTCGGATCTGCATTCAGATTCCAGCTCTGCCATTTACTCATACATCAGACCTTGTACAAATGTCACCTGTTTCCATACACTGTGAGAGAAGCTGAAAGACAGCCAGAGCAGCCAGCCCCGCTGCAACACCTTAGGCCTTCAATGCACGAACACACACTGTGCTTTTCCAGCTGGAGCTGTGTCCTGCCAATCTAAGTTCTCCAGGAGCCTGGGTGTTACGTCCCTGCTGTGCCCACCCCCACGCCAGAGCTCAGTGCCAGAACTTGATACTCTGGCCTCTCTTCTAACTTTGACACTTAACTTTCAACAATTTGTTCATTTCTTTCCAGCACAGCTCTGACACAATACAAAGACACCAACCCCTGGTTAGTAAAACATTTTCAGGGCACTAAAGATGCTGACTCTTGCAAAATCAGGGTTGAATGGATTTATAAATAAGGACCATTTCATTAAAAGCCAACTTTCGAGTTACAGCATATGATAACGTCTTAAAAGCAAGGCAATTTCATTTTAATACAAAATGCATTACCTGTTTAACACAGGGGGAAGGGATCCTAAAGAGAAAGAATTACCAATGTCCCTGGTCGTGTACCACTTACTCCCCAGCACAGGAATATGACATGGCCAAGAGCCACGGACCCCAGAGGAAGCCAGTACCGTGGGAGAAGAGGAGATCGCTGCAGGGAGCTAAGGGTTGTGGTTGAGGGGGAAGGAACCAGGAGCTGGTCTCAGGTCCAGAGTCCTGACTGCAGTCATTGCATGAAGGAGGTGCCCTGAGAGGAGGGACCCATCTGCTTCCTCTGCTCCCTGCTTCCCCCGTGAACTTCCTTCCTGTAGGGCAAAGAGAACTAACCACCCCACCCAAAAGAGCCCCATGATGTCAGGAGGCTGCAGTAATCCAGGGGAGAAAGGGAGCCTTACTATGCTGTCCTTCCTCCAACAAATAATCCACATGCCTGCTGGGGTCGTGGGGACACTGAGGAAGGCAAGCTTGCCAGCAGCTTGGGAAACAGAAGGAGCCAGGCTTAGCCCCAACCATATTACACATGGTGAGATTAGAGGGCAGGAAAAATTTATAAGACCCTCAGGTCCCTGACACAAGTGCTACAAAAACCACCAGCATCAAGAGTATGAAATACTCCTTTCCTTTTTACCTCAAAAGCTCCTTGTCCAATGATGAGCTGGGGATCTTCAGGGAACAGAGAATTAGCTCTCCTCTCGTCCAGCTTTCTAAGCAAAGATTATCCTGGACTGGGCACCTCATGCAGCAGCATTAATTTCTTTTATTATTAACTTTCAAAAACATTCCTCAACGTCAGAACCCACACAAAAAGACAAAGGTGGACATTTCTCAGAACTGAGGCTGCCACCTGTTACCCAATCAGGGCAAGGTAGCCTTAGCCAGGCCCTGTGAGGACCCAATGTCCACTCAATGTTTGTATGAGGTAAAAGTTGAAGGTTACAAAAAACAACAAACAGGGGGCTGGGGATTTAGCTCAGCGGCACAGCGCCTGCCTGGCAAGCGCAAGGTCATGAGTTCGATTCCCGGTACTGGAAACAAAACAAAACAAATAGTTGAAATCAACAAGCAGAAGGTATTCCTCACTTGGGTTAGGCAATGGATTAAAAAAGAATTCCTCTCTCCTCAGCAACAAAACATTTTTTAAAAAATTCCTGCACAAACTATTTAAAAGTCAAAGAAACTGGCCAGGCGTGGTGGCACATGCCTGTAGTCCCAGCACTCAGGAGGCTGAGGCAGAAGGATTGTTGTGAGTTCGAGACCAGCCTGGGCTACAAAGTGAGCTCAAGCCCAGCCTGAACTGCAGAGAGACTCTGTCTCAAAAAGGCAAAAAAAAGTCAAAGGAACTGTCACAGAGGGGATGAAGGAAGAAGGCCTCTCCGCACTGTTTTAACTTACACCTTTTGTGTACTTGTGCTGCTAATTTGTGACACATAGAAGCCTTCCAAGTAAAACTCAAGGCTGGCATACATGATCCTAAGACAAACGAGGTTCCATTTAAGGGTGAGATAACCTATTTTTTAGTCTTGTGCATGCTAAGCACGCACAGGACTAGCGAACTACAGCCACCCGCTCCCTTTTTCAGAGACGGGAGAGGGGGGCGGTTGGAGGGTCTCGCTGTACAGTATTGCGCAGGCTGGCCCTGAACTCCTGGGTTCCTGCGATCCTCCCGCCAGAGCCTCTCAAGTGACTGGGACAACAGGCAGCTGAAAATCTCTTAAACACACTTTAAATATTCCCGTCGTGAACCACTATTTTATTGTTAAAGCACCAATTCAGCAATTCAAGTTCTGTCTTCCACCAGCCACAGGACTCCGGCCCGCCAATAATAACAACGCACAGTGACTAAACAGTGCTCCCCCGCCCCAAATGCAAACGACAAAGTGCAGAAGCAGCCTTAGGCTGGGCGCTGTTTCCACCGCCCACCGCGGGCCCCCACCTTCCCATTGCCCTTAAGACCCAGGCAGCCCTTTCAACTGCGCGCTTGGAGCGCGTCCTGGAACCGCAACTGCAGCTTCCGCGCCCCGCCCCTTCCCCCAGCCGCGGGCGGGCGTCACGTGACGGCTGAGAAAAGTAGGGGAAAGGTTACAGGGAGCCCCGCCTCCGGGCTGGCTTGTCCCCGGCGCTCAGATCCTGTTCCACCGGCCGTGCCCACAGAGACTTTCCGGAGCGAGCTGGCGCGCGGCGCCGCTGCCACCGCTGCGACTGCGGATGAAATGCAGTGCAACTCTCCGTAGGAAGGAAGGACAAGCCCTGCGGTGCTCACTGTTGGGGACAGTTACAAGCTCAGTTTGCCCAATGACAGACGCCACCTGTAACCGGCAACCTGGCACTGCGCCCACGCGAGCCGAGGGCGCGTCCAAAAGGGGTTCACTGCTTAGCCCAAGTAAAAATTAACGGTGTTTTTATGAATGGGCACACGAGGCTAAGGTTGGGCAAGCACAAGCCAGCGCCAAGACTCCCCGGAGACCCAGGCCTGAGGACTCTTAAGGTCACTCACTGGTCCCGGGCCAGGGCTAAAACGTAGAAACAACAGTTTAATTCCATCTCGAAGTTAGGCGGCTTGTTTTTAATACGGGTTGGCCTGTGCGTGATCCCAGATTGTGCCACAAAGTTATGCACACTCCTAAACCTGACCTTGTCTGGGACCAGCCACTGTGAGATGGAATTCAAGCGCAAGGTCAATCTACCAGCGCTTCACGCAAAGGAAACCAGTAAGTTATACGAGGAAAGAGCCCACTGCCTCCGGGTACCGAGGCAAAACCTGCCTAAAGAAACTCTGGGCGAGTTACAAGCTAGACACTCGCCTGGACTACAGTATCCTCCCTGGCACTAATGCCCACGTGTCTGTGGCTTCCTCAGCTGGGCCAGCGTCACCTTAAATACTTTGGAAAGGGGGGAGGGGAGGCGCTTACTGACACAAATAAAAGGGCAGTGCTTCGGCCCTTTTTTATTCCTTTGGTTTCGGGTTTTGGCGGAAATAAACAGCATGCTTGAATTTCTGGAATGGCGAGAAACCAGATGCCTGTTCAAGAAAATGGTGTAACAAAATACACGTTTCCAAAGGTTAAACTTATTTGCTTTATCCAGTAACTTAAAAAATTACCACTTTCCTATTGAAATCTGCCCTGGAATATTTCACTACTTGAAGCAAAGAGGAACCGAAAGTCTGCCCTCGAAGTGGGAATATTAGGTTTGTTCTGTATGTAACCTGGTAATTCTACCTTTTAATTCTTGAAGTTTAAAAAAAAAAAAGTTTGATGAGCCGTCGCCTTCCTCTAGCTTTGATGAAAAGCAGACACTGATTTCCTTTATAAAGACACTGATCCACTGCCTTCCTGAACAAAGCCGAGGGAAGAGGCTGCTGGTGCCGGTGCGGAGCCGGGGCTGTACCCAGGACCGACCGCGCCTTCGGGCTCGCGGGCCAAGTTCGCCGGGCCTGGTCACGTGAGCAACAACCCCCCCCCAGCCAGCCTGGAGCGACCTTGGGCAGCCTTGCCGCTGCCCCCTGCCCTTGACCCGCGCGGAGGATGAGGGCGTTCACAAGCAGGGGTCCAAGCCCCCACACACAAGCCCCCTACCGCTAGCTTCGCGCCAAGGGCGTGTCCCGCAGGCTGCACTGCGGGGGCGGAGTGAGGAGGGGGATTAGGGGACCGAGATCGGCCACGTCCAGAAGCGGAGCATCCCTCCCGCGATCGCACTGTACCTGCCCGCGGGCTGACAGCCCTCGGGTGACCCCCGACCCAATGCACTGGCCGACAGGAGGTGGGATGCGATGCGACCGGGCAGAGAAACGAATCGGTGCCCTACTGGTTTGGAGCGGAGGCATCCCGCCAGGGCCCGAGGCCAGAGCATCCCTCCTGCTGCGGATCGAGCCTTGCTCCCTACAGACAGCCCCAGGCAGACCCCAGACCCAGTCCACTCACAGCGGACTGGAGAGACGGGGAGCAAGGATCGGAGCCCATGCGCGACTGTCCGGGGGGCGCGGGGAGCGTCTGGCCGAGTCTGAACATCAAGCATCCTCCCGCGGACCCCAGGGTCTCATCCCTGAGCAGCTCCAGGTTCCCTAAGAGCTCGGCTGTCCGAGGGCAGCGCTTGGGTCCGCCGAGCCCTACCGGGCGGCTACCAGCCGTGAACCGCGCCCGGGTCCCAGAAGCCTCGCGGCCCCCGCCCAGCCCGCCAGGCGCTGTCCCCACGCGCGGCCGCGGCCGAGTCTTACCGAGTCGGCGGACTGCAGTTCGGCGGGCAGCAGAATGAGCGAGTGGCGGGCGAGCGCCGGAGGCGGGAGGACCGCAGACGGGACCCGAGCGCACGGACGCCGGTCGCCGCCGATTGGCTGAGCCGCGAGGGCCTGCGGCTGGAGCTGGCTGGCGACCAAGGGTGCGCGCTGGGCTGGGCGGGGCCTGGGTGGGGCGGGGTCTGGACGGGGCGGGGTCAGGTGAGGAAATTGAGGCTCGATAGCGCGCCTGCCAAAGCAAGCTCTGCGGGGATGGGATCTAGAAAGGCGTTCCCCTCCTTGGGAACCTCTGTTTCTCCATCTGTAAAATGGGCCAACTCATTAGCACCGTGCCTCGCTTATGCTGCGTTTACAGACCAGGCTGATGCAGCTTATGCCCCGCCCCCTTTTACAAAGGAGGAACCCCGTGGGGGAAAGGATGACTAACTTGCCCGAGATCACACGGCTCAGAATGGTAAGTTAGCCCACGCCCCAAGTCGGATCTTGTCCCCGAGTGACAGCTGTTGTAATCGGAGGCAGAGTGGCTGGCGGGGCTAACACGCTAAGGGGCTCCTTCTCATGCAACTGGAATGCCTCCCTTGAGCGGCTTTGGGGAGATCTGGTAAAATATTAAGGGGCTGGACTGTGGCTCGGTAGTAGAACGCATGCTTAGCGTGCGCGAGGCTCTGGGTTTGATACCCAGGACTGAAAAAAAAAAAAAAAAAAAAGATTCCGGCGGCGTCAAGAACGTAATAGGTGCCAAGAGGGAGAACTGCAGACCAGTGCGAGATGGGGACAGGGACTGGGAGAGAGCTGACCTGCTAGCCCCTGGGGAAGCCACCTACCCCTTTCTTCACCTGCCTGTTTTCTTTCTCGAGCTGGACAGCTGCGTACAGCGGTTGCTCCAGAAATGCACTAATGCAGTGAAGAAGACTTGGTACCCATAGCTGTCAGTCACTCCTGGTTATGAAAACTCGGTGTATGCCTCCATCTTTCCATTAAATAATTGTTGTTCCAGCAGAAGGCTTTAGAAGAGAAAGTGAAAGTTTTCCCTTGATCCCGCCCTGGCGGGGCCACCGCCGCAGTTAAGCATTGCTGCTGCCCCCGCTCCCCCACCCTCTGGTTTTAAGTAAAGAAGAGTCGTATCTTTTTGTCGCCCTTGCTTATGTCGTGGTGTAGTTCTCCGTGGGGACACGGGGACGGCCCGCGTCTTTCAGCGGACTACACAGTATCTCCTTTGACGATCTGCTGTGATGTTCGACCGGCCCCAAGAGACATCAGGGGCACCCTTTGCACCACCGCAGGTATAATAAAGGGGGCACTGGCCGTGAACATCCCTCCGCGAGGGCGTTTCTCCTGAAGAACTGACCCTAGAAGTGAAGCAGTCAGGCACCTGGAAGCGCCTTTTTGGTGCCATCTGCCAAGCTGCCATCCGGAAATGCTGCTAAGATCCACCTCCTTCCCAGGCGTGGGCCTCGCCTCCGGTTATCCATTCTTTTGAATCTTTGTCAATCTTGAAAGCGGGGAGGGACAGGAAGAACCTCTCCTCCTTTTTTAGTTGCCCTTCTTTGAGGCCTGAAGTTGGAGGTCCCACCCCACGCTGGCTCTTGCGTGACCCGGCTCATCTCCTGCCCTAGGAAGCAGGTGGTCTGAGCCCGGACACCAGGGCTGCCTGCACGTGCCCTGACGCCTGGCGCGTCGTCTCCCAGCCTGTCCCTGCTCGTGAGCCTTCCCGGCTTGCGCCACGGAGGCTGGCCTGTCACGCTCACCTCAGATGCCCTTCCCTGCTCTCCCTAGAACCCCAGAGCTGGCAGGTCCCCGCCCCAAGGTCACTTCCTTGTTTAATATATGCCCTGTTGTGCTCCCCGCTCGGATTGGCCCTGTGCCCTGTCTGTTGCGAAGGCTTCCTGGCCTTGACCTTGCGCCGCTCCCTGCGCGCCGCCTCCTGGCCACCTGCAGGCGGGGCGGGGCGCCTAGCTCACCTGTGCCTCCCGGCGGACGCACGCGCAGTGAGGAGCCCATCCCCGCCCGCAACTGGCACGGGGTCTACACCGCGCCTCTGCTTCGGGAACTGCAGCTCCCAGGAGTGACTATTAATAAAAGACAAGAGCCAGGCCCCTGGGGAACTCCAGGCCCGATCCTTTAAATTCCCTGGGGCCAAAAATATCCCAGTATCCAACTCAGAAACTAGAATAATGTTTCACAAGCTCTGTTGAGTTTTTATTCTTCAAATTCTTTCCTAGTTTTTTTTTTCTTTCCAGTTTTAATAAAATATGCAGCAGCTGCCTCATACTGAAACTTTTCCAAGAATAAGAAAACTTTTAAAAATTCATGTAATGTTTTTATCACTGAGATTTCTTTTGGGGGGGATATTACCTTTTTTCGAGACAGGGTCTCACTATGTACTTCGGGGTAACCTTGAACTCACTATATAATCTAGACTGGAACTCACAGTGATCCTCCTGCCTCAGCCTCCCAAGTGCTAGGATTACAGGTATGGGCCACTGTGCCTGGCAAGATTTCTTTTTTTTTTTTTTAATTTTAAAAGTACCTTTTAATGAGAAATTTAAACCTTTAAGCCGGGCATGGCGGCGCAAGGCTGTAATCCCCGCACTCGGGAAGCTGAGGCAGGAGGATTGTTGCTAGTTCCAGACCAGCCTGGGCTCCAAAGTGAGCTCAAGGCCAGCTTGAACTGCATAGTGAGACCCTGTCTCAAAAAGACAAAAAAAAAAAAAAAAAAAAAAAAAAATTAAACCTTTAGAAACTAATGAGAATAATATAATAAAGGGCAATAATACAACCTAAATTCAAACTCAGCAATTATCAAGCCAGGACCAGGCCCCCTACTGCAACTGATTTATTTTATTTTATTTTATTTTATTTTATTTATCTTTTGTGGTACTGAGGATTCAACCCAGGACCTCAACTGAGCTATATCCCCAGAATGTTTTATATTTTCTAATTTTTTTTTTTATTTATTTTTGAGCAGTACTGGGGATTGGACCCAAGGCCTTCCCACTGAGCTACATCCCAAGCCCCAGAACATACATTTGGTGGGGGAGTGGTTAGAGGTTTGCTATGTTAGTAAGTTGCCCAGGTTGGGCTCAAATTTTTTTTTTTTTTTTTGGTTTTTTTTCCAGTATCAGGAATCAAACTCATGACCTTGTGCTTGTCAGGCAGGTGCTGTGCCGCTGAGCTAAATCCCCAGCCCCTGGGCTCAAAGTTGTAACTCTGATGCCTCAGCCTCCCAAGTAGCTGGGATGCCATATGTGTACCACTGAGCCCAGATTTTTCTTTCTTTTTTTTTTTTTTTTTTTTTTTTTTTT